GCCCGATGGTGCAGGCATGACCACGCCATCGAAGATGGCAAAACCAAACCTCATCCTTCCACTCCGACACTCCAGTGGTGTTCGTCGACGGTGGGGCAATCAACTTGGGCGGCGAAACTCGGCAGCGAAGGAGGGGGGAAGTGAGAAGGAGAAAGCCTTCTCAGAAGTTTCGAAGTCCCCCGGCCTTCTGAGAAGCTTTAAGGCCTTGCCCGAAGACAAAAAAAATATCCTTGTGAAAAACGAAACCATATGCAGTTGTGGGTACCGCAATTGTGAATATCTTCTTCGGTGAAGCTCCCTATGGGGCCACGAAGCGCTGCACTGGGTGGGGGGGAACGCATGCAGGCGGTTGCACTGGGGCCGTCGGTGGAGCTCCCCATGGGGCCACGAAACGCTGTACTGGGTGGGTGAAAATGCCAAATTCGGCGTGTGGGACGCATGCGGACGGTTCGGTGGAGCTCCCAATGGGGCCACGAAACGCCGTACTGTGTGGGTGAAAATGCCAACTTGGGCTTCTGGGACGCATGTGGAGGGTCCCACTGGGGGCTTCGGTGGAGCTCCCTATGGGGCCACGGAATGATGTACTGGGTGGGTGAAACTGTCAAATTGGGTTCCCGGGACGCACGCCGACCATCCCACTGGGGGCTTCGGTGGAACTCCGAATGGGGCCACGAAACGCTATACTGTGTGTGTGTGAAAATGCCAAATCGGGTGTGCGAGACGCACGCGGACGGTCCCACTGGGGGCTTCGGTGAAGCTTCCTAGGGGGCCACGAAACGCTGTACTGGGTGGGTGAAACTGCCAAATTGGGTGTGGCGGACGCATGTGGCCACCCCCCCTGGGGCCTTCGGTGGAGCTCCCTATGGGGCCACGAAACGCTGTACTGGGTGTGGCGGCTCATGTGGTACCCCCCCCCCTGGGGCCTTAGGTGGAGCTCCCTATGGGGCCACGAAGCGCTGCACTGGGTGTGGCGGACGCATGTGGTACCCCCCCCCCCCTGGGGCCTTAGGTGGAGCTCCCTATGGGGCCATGAAACGCCGTACTGGGTGTGGCGGACTCATGTGGTACCCCCCTGGGGCCTTAGGTGGAGCTCCCTATGAGGCCACGAAACGCCGTACTGGGCGTGGCGGACGCATGTGGTACCCCCCCCCCCCTGAGGCTTCAGGTGGAGCTCCCTATGGGGCCACGAAACGCTGTACTGGGTGTGGCGGACGCATGTGGTCCCCCCCCTGGGGCTTTAGGTGGAGCTCCCTATGGGGCCACGAAACGCTGTACTGGGTGGGTGAAACGTATGGAGGAGGGAGGAGGGGGAGGAGGAGGGAGGAGGGGGAGGAGGAGGAGGAGGAGGAGGAGGAGGAGGAGGAGGAGGAGGAGTGAGTGAGTGAGTGAGTGAGAGAGAGAGAGAGAGTGAGTGAGTGAGTGAGCGAGTGAGTGAGCGAGCGAGCGAGCGAGCGAGCGAGCGAGTGAGTGAGTGAGTGAGTGAGTGAGTGAGTGAGTGAGTGATTGGGTGGGACGCGGGGCGCTGCCTCTTCAAAACGAGGACCCAACACCATAGGATGGTTAGGAAGAACTTCTCAGAAGGTGCGAGAGCTTCTGAGAAGTCCCGCCGCCATCTGAGAAGGCCTTCTCCTTCTCATTTCCCCCCCTCGCTCGCCGCGGAAAAACGTGTACCTTTTCGTGTACCTTGGGTGCCGCGGCGGCAGTCTAGGCTTAGGTTGGGCTTCTAAAACAGTCAAAAATAGTCGTCAAACAAATCGGCCCCATACTAATGATACCGGAGAAAAACCCAATCAGGGCTATAGGGCTAGGGGGCTATAGGGCTATAGGGCTATTGAGCTATAGGGCTATAGAGCTATAGGGCTATAGAGTTGTAGGGCTATAGGGCTACTGGGCTATTGGGCTATAGGGCTATAGGGCTATAGGGCTTAGGGCTATAGGGCTATAGGGCACCCCCAGGCACCCCCGGGCACCCCCAGGCACGCCCGGGCACCCGGGCACCCGGGCACCCGGGCACCCCCGGGCACCCCCCGGGCACCCGGGCCCCGGGCACCCCACGGGCACCCGGGCCCCGGGCACCCCCGGGCACCCGGGCACCCGGGCGTGCAGCGAAAATCGGCGACAAACCGAACCTAACCATATGAATCCGCCAGGACCCCCACAGAGGCAAGCCCTGATTGGGGAATTATTGTTTGACAGATTTTGAAGTTCCTCCTGTAGAGGGACATGCCCGCATCAAGTCTACACCCTGCGAAATGCTTAAGGAATCATGGGTTAAGAAATTCATAGTCTCAGATCTTGAATAAAAACCCAACATTTCTATTACAAACTTAGGATTTAGATTGAAACGTTAAGAATAATCGAGACTCTGGCCGAAAACTTAAGTTTTCTTAAGCATCGCCTTAGGTGTAGGAGCCGTCTAGGGCCCCCTCTGGTGCCCCACCCCCCAAGCGTGCCGTGCGACCGAGGTGCCGCGCCCCCGCCCGCGCTCGCGGACGGCCGC